AGACAGACAGACAGACAGACAAAATTCATTTTAAGGAAATTTTCACTTATTGTTCTAAATGAAAGAGACATTGTTCCGATAGAAGATCTCACCATACATAAATTGTTTATCATTAAGAGTACTGCACGGAATAAAAGAACAGTCTGGCTGCATTTACATACATGGTTGGTGGGTTGGTAGAAACCCTGCTTTTTCTCATCTCATCATTTGCGGTTTACTTTTTTCCCCTCATGATTTTAAATTAATTTATGAATACTTGTAACCAGGGAGATTTTGAAAGAGTTTTGAATATTGAAATCTCGGCCAATTTTAGAACTGAATTTAAAAGAGGCTTTTTCAAAGGCTTTTGAATCATCTTATTGTTTGATAGTATTCGAAGCCCCAAACATTCCTCACTGGACAAAATGGTTTAAATCTCCTTGCAAAATAGTATTCGTGCAAAATAACGTTCAGTCGTTGCTATTTTTACGGTAGATTGTGAACCAGGCCTAAGGGGCACTCCACCCTTTTGTTATATGATACTTGACTGTCGACGTCTTTGTCACAATATTCTTTTCCTGGGAGACAATAAGGCAGTCTGCGAAGTCTGTGGAGGTTCATTGTCCAATTTGAAGTCTTATTATTCAACATACACAATCTTTTCCTGGGAGACTATAAGGCAGTCTGCGAAGTCTGTGAAGTCTTATTATTCAACACACATAATGAATATAATAAGTCCAACTCATACTAGGTCTATTGTCAACCATGTTTTAAAAGAGGTTACTCGAGACCAACTCACGCCAAAGTTTTCTTAGCAAAATGAACAAATATCAAGAACCCGAGAAAAAATCCCACCAAGTATTTTTAGAAGATTTATGGAGTCAGATCGGTGGGTTTGGTCGATATCCTATTTTTGTCAACGTCTTCATGTGCTATTTAACTATGGTGACAATCTTTCAACACTTCATTCTTATTTACTACGGCTCTCCTCCAAATTATCAATGCGTATCGAATGAGCTGAATGTTAGTAGTTCTTGTCGGATCAACCAGTGTGGATGTGAAAACTGTACCTACGTGTTTATGACGGATGAGTTCTCTAGTGTTGTCTCTGAGGTAAGCTGTATATACCGTTCAAACCTCTTTGCTTACTACTGATAGACTGCAAACCATATACTCCATGAAACAATACTTACTGATTAGTAGAAAATAACACCAATGAAACAATTGAAAACAATTGAAATAGATGTGTTTAGTGCTATTTAGTTTTTTTGTTATTTCACGAATATATGGTTAATTGCACTCTACGAAGCTCTTTGCTTGCTTAACCAAGTTCACTGCCATAACAGATGAAGTTTCCAAACTTCAAATCTTAAAAATTAAAAGTTGAAATCTTATATATTTTCAGTGGAACCTTATCTGTGACCGTGCGCACTTGGGAGCCATGACGCAGTCTGTTTACGGTGCAGGGTTTTTCTTTGGTGCTGTTGGATTTGGTAAATTCTCTGACCACTTTGGAAGGAAGAAAGCTATTTTTCTCAGCTTGTTTCTGATAGTAAGAATCCATATGAACACCATGATAGAATAATAATAATAATGATAATAATAATTATTACTATTATGATGATGATGATATGATGATATACCGTCGATTGGTCTTAATCATTCAACAGACTTCGTTCAGTTTGGGCTCCGCCTTCGCCAACAGTCTCATCCTCTTTGCTGTCATGCGTTTTGGTGCGGGTCTGGCCAGTGCTGGATTGATGACGATAAGATTGGTATACTCTATGGAAATATCGACGCTCAACCACCGTACTGCCATCGCAAACATCTCAAATCTTTCCTTGAATTTTGGGGCTGTTCTATTGACGTTGGGGGCTTACCTGATACATGATTGGCGCTATTTGATGCTGGCTATCTCTCTGCCTGGCGTACCTCTATTCCTGTTATGGAAGTGAGTAAAACTATCGTTGAATTGACTTTTGTCGAGGAAAGAATCTTTGGTGAAACCTACTATGGTAGAAAAAAGAAAAAAGAAGTTTAAAGAAAGGAATTAAGAAAGAAACGATGAACGAATCATTAAATGAATGAATGAAAAATATTTACTTCAGATGATTTTACCGACCACATGCTTTTATCTGTTCCCAGGTGGATTCCAGAATCTTTTCCGTGGCTCATCGCAAAAGGAAGGCTCGAAGAAGCACAGGACGTCTTAGAAAGCTTCGCCTCAGCAAGCGGGGTTAAAGTCGATTCTAACCAACTGGCCTCGACTATCAAAGAAATCAAGATGGCGGACGCAAGTGCAGCTACCGGGAAGAGTAAAACTGGGATACTGGATCTTATCAAGACCCCTAAAATGAGAAAACGCACGTTTATTTTATGCTGGAATTGGTAAATACAGGCATAGCTTTAAAGTAACTCTTACAAAGGTCTTGGGAACCAAATAGCTGAAACTAGAATAGTGGAGTGGGCCTTAGTAGGTCTGGTCTCTGATCTTGCAAGGTCCTTTGGGACCAAATAACTGAACCGGCTTTTTCATATCACATAATAGCCAACTCTCGATATTCTGGTTGAGTGGTCAAGCACAAGACATTTAGATTCGAGACTTCGGGAAAACAATGATGCTATCGCATGTATTCTTTTCAGTGCCTTCCTCGGAGCCTCGACTCGGATTGTTTTGTGCAGAATATATATTGAAAGTAGCTCTCTTGAGGGACTTGGAAACCAAATAGCCGTAAATTATTGCATAGATCTTTCTCAGTTAGAGTACAAACACTAATTGTGTGCAACATATATATTACTAAATAGTATAGTGTTATCTTATGCTAATTCTATTGTTTTCTTTTGTTTAATTAATGCTATTTACTACTAATTTCTACTCTAGTGCTTTATTTTTCTTTTTGTTTTAAACATACATTTATTCCAACAGGTTTGTTAATTCTATGGTATTTTATGGCATCACTTTGAATGCTAAAAATCTTGGTGGATCGTTTCATCTCAGCGTATTTTTCTTGCTTGTTGTTGGCATTCCCGCTACTCTTTTTGCGTGGCTCCTTTTCAAAAAGTATGTAAAGTTATGCAAAATGGTGTTTTAAATTATAAATTATTTCAAAAAAAACAAACTTACATAGCTAAATAACAAAGCTTATGAACTTGTAGCCCCAATGTAAACAAGTAGGGGTTTGTATTTTTATCATTAAACACAATACACCTATCCCGAATTCGCTTGACTGGTCACGAAACAATGGTTTCAAGTCGAGGTTGAACTTGATGAATAAAAGAATCAAGTTCAGTCTTGACTTCAAACCATTGTTTCGTGGTCAGTCAAGCGAATTCGGGATAGGTCTATTGTACTATTAATGCACACCGAAAGAAAGCGGGCTCTTATGTGCATGCGCAGTCGAAGTCACCGCTGCCCACAATACGAAAGCGGACTCTTATGATTTATTCCTTAGATCCTTGCCACAGCAGTAACATTAGTCTCCCCCACAGCCGCTTTAAGTGTCGTCACGCAACGCTTTCTCCGGAGAAAGCGTTGCGTGACGACACTGAAAGCGGCTGTAGGGGAGACTACAGTAACATGGGCTCTTCTTCAATAAAAAAATCAGAGGATCAGTGGCCTTTTATAAAAATTAATAATATGGTATCATAATACTTTTGAGGCTTTAACGTGACTATCAATCAAAATATTGAAATAAGGTTCTTACTTTKCCAGGTGTGGCCGTCGATTTTCTTTCTCAGCATTAATGATATTTGGTGGTCTGGTCTGTTTCATGGTCTTGGCTGTTCCAAAGAACACAGGTAACCCCCTAATTTTTTCTCTCGAGACATTTGAAATAATAGAACACTGGAAGAAATCTAGTATCGTCTTGTAGGTTAGTGTTATAGATTTACAGGATGATTGTTCTTCAACCATTTGGTATTTTATTTTTCAAGCTTTAGAGCTATTCACAACGGTTAGGAACCGCATATATAGAGGTTTTGCACCATCACGTGATAGCAGTCATGATAGGAGGCATCACAATTGAATCTGGTCGAATCTGATTTACGTAAGAAAGTATTCAGTTTCCCGGGGTGGGGGGAGATTATTGTTGTGCCTCCTGTCATGGCTGCCATCACGTAATGGTGCAAAGCCTCTACCTATAAATGCTCACCGAAATTGTGTATACTAACGAGATTTTTGATTGTGATAATCAGGTGAAAACCCAGCCATCAAGGCCCTCGCTGTGATTGGTGTCTTCTGTTTCAACGCAACATTTGGTTGCGTAAGCATCTATACATCTGAACTGAACCCAACTCTACTCAGGTAACCATGGTAGCTGAGCCACTTGCAACGAAACAGGAATAGAAGATTTTCRATTTATATTTTCAGGAATTTTGCCCTTGGAGTTGGGTCAACGATTTCTCGTTTGGGAGGAATCATCGCCCCGTACCTCGTGTTTCTTGTGAGTATAACATTATAATAACGTCAGTATTGAAGGATGTAGGAGAAACACCGGCACATGGATCCAACTTAAGGACGTCCATGGGCAAAAGATCCCATCGTCAGATTTTCTTTTAATTTTGCACAATGAAAGAACATCATACTAGAAGTAAGATAAGCAAATAAAAAAATGGGGGTCCCAAACTTCGTTTAGCCGTCAGAATACATGGAAGTTCTCCCTTTTTACGGCAAGAACACGCGAGCAATGTAAACATGGAAAGTTGCCAAAAATTAGTAATTTCGATTTGATCCCATCATCAGATTTTTAAAATTTTTCCTCTAAAGTTAGGTATAATTAAGTACTTTCAAAAAGCGAAATAAAAAACGGGGGTGCCCGACTTCTTTTTAGAGCTATATGAGATTAAAGACGTTTTTATGAGGTTTTACTTATCGAAACATGGGAATGACGTCATCACGATGACCGCGCGCTCACTGAATTCATGCGTAGAAAGGATGCGCGTGAACAATACCCATGAATGTCCTTAAGATCAAATAATATACACAACCAGGTGATCGATTAGCCAACCAGGGTTGCATTTTTGGAAAAAGAATCGATTCCATGCTTCATTACGCAGAGGGAAAATGAAAACAAAACGGCGCACAAGGACAATTCAAAGACAGAAGTGTTCATTTAGCTGGAGGTTTCTTAAAAATATTTATTTAAAGAATATATTGTCCAGATGAAACTAGGAATTTAGTTCATCGGTCAGGTTATTTAAATCCTATGAAAAGCCTCAAATCTGTTATGGAGAGTGTGTTGCTGTTAACAAGGAAAGATTTATTGGCGAGAAAGCGGCTACGAAACTCAAGTGCATTGAGCGTGTGTGGGTCGATGGGATTGGTTCAGTTTTTTTTTCAATAAGGAAGTGATCATGAATTGTAGGTCTAGCCAGATCACCTGTAATGAATAAACAGATAATTATCTTTAACTTTTCTAGAACGACTTCTTACAAAATCTACCATTCACAATCTTTGGAGTCTTGGCTTTAACTGCTGGTACTACAGCTTTGTTTTTACCCGAAACGCTCTACAGTCCCATGCCCCAGACCGTGGATCAACTGGAGTCCTGGGACGAGGATTATGGAGTTCCTTGCAGAAGGAGGAATCGTTTGCAAGCAGCAGGAGAGTGCGTGCTGAAAGAAGTGCAGGGAAAGAAAGAAATCGTTTGATGTACAACAGACAAGATGAGTGTCCGGAATGGTGAAGTTTTTTGGGAAAGATTACTAATATCTTAATTAAGGGTTAAGTCAATGCTATTGTGTCCTTTAGCCAACTGAACAATAGGACGTTTGTATGAATGTTTCAGTCGTATCATGGAAAGAAAATATACGAAATAGAAAGGAATAGATCATAAAGTTAAATTGTCAAAAGAATAAATAACACGTTAACACGAAATGTTTATGAAAATTATATTGCAAAGTTATCGATTATATTTTTCAATGAAGTACAAAAACCTATTTACATATTTACTTCACTTAAAATAAGATGGTTCTTATTAATTTTTTAAATTATTAACAGTGCCTCTTTTCCCTCCTAATTCAGTAGAGCCGGTTGGGTTGTTTTGGAAGCGCGGGGGTAAGTTTGAAGCAGCACGCCTACTCGGCTCCAATATCCGCGCGTCCACAAGAACCCTAAAAAAACTCGTCTTAACTGAGTCTGGAGGGGAATATGGGACGACTCGCAGTCTAGGCCGGTTTCGGCCGTGTAAGTGCTAGATACAAATTTTTTCCTTCTCCCTCTCCCACTTCCCGACGACCAATCTTATCCATCTTAGAGATCGACGAAATGCACTCAGAGCAGCATTTTTCATGGCACTGTAACGTATGAAGGATCGCCTGCGAGACCTGAAAGGCAAAGAGTGACAAATTTTTCCTTCACGAGCGAAGCAAGTGCGCGGTGGTGGTGGGGTGGTG